TTTATCCTTATCTCTTAAAGAGAGTCCAGATCCAAATAAGATTTGGATTAGGAAACTCCTAATGGGATTATGAGCTCTCTTTAAGACTATAAATAGAGGAGGAGGGTGAACCCCAGTTCATCCTACAAGATTACAGATTCAAGAGAGAAGACAACTCTAGTTAGACTGACGCCATTTCCTGCTCTTGCCTCCTATTGCTGCCGCCATAGCCAGTTCGATCTCCACCTGTAGGAGTGATCAAGAAGCATTCTTGATATCAGTTTTTGGTGAAAAACTTATATGAAGTTGTGCTCACTCACCCTCCATCGAATTCTTGCTGAAGAACCACCTACTGATTCCGCTCCACCCTACATTGTGTCATCTTCAGTGAGAGCAGTCTTTGGCGTTTTCCTTGGGCGTGAACACCTTCGTTGGGAGTTATTGTTACTTCGTATCAGGTTCATCCCTCTCCTACCTTTTGGTTTCAGATTTGGTCTAGTTTAGGGTTCAAGATTGATCCTTGAAAGTGCAGTTTTCTAAAACTGGGAATGTGATTCCCACATGGAAGAGAGAGAAATTTTGAAAATTTGCCCAACCTACCTGCAGGGTTCGGCTATCCATATGATGAATCTCTCATCCCTTCACAAGTAATAAGCAAGGCCCTTCAAAGTACATCCAAATTCCTATAAACATTGGCAAAGGAAACTACAAGCAGGTGGTCAATCAAATTCTACCCCCCATAGTGAGGAACATATCAAATGTGATGGCCTGAAGAGTAGATAGAAACCAATTGTATTGAGGTGTTAAACCGACGGACAAGATTGTGACAAATGTAAATATTAATGTCTATTTTCAGGGGCAGTAAGTGCATATTATGATAGCATTGGGGAGCTAGGCACATTTTGTAATTATTAACTTTTTTTACACCTAAATGAGTAAATTTAAAGTAATCTTCCCATCAGCATGCAATTCATGCAGACTAAAAGAAAACTAGCAATACTAAGGTCTTAATTACTCACATAATTTACTTTGCAATGATATGCACTTTTTCTCTTTTTTGATTCAAGGAATAAAATGAAAAGAAGGAAGGGGGTTGAGGTTTGATGGATTAAAACCAAAAAGATGGCCTGCAAGTCTCTATGTTTAAAATGATTGATGGATATGACACTTTCATAGTTTATACAATCACAATCTATTTTGAAATTTATGCAACCAAAATAATGTTGCCTCTTTCCATGATTTTCTAAAAAAAGTTCTTTCACATAATATAACTCAAATGTACAAGAAAACAAAACAAGAATCTTAGTAAGGAGAAGACTCTAGTTTCATTGTTTTGACTAGACTCTAGTTTCATCATTCAATTATTAGATAATTGAATAATGTGACTCCATCATTTATGAGCAGAGAGATTATCCATAAATCTTGTTCCCCACTATTGGAAGTACAAGACGACTTGGAATAGGTAGTGCAATCAGAAACTACAAGAGAGATATTATACAAGTCTACTGCAGGCTCAATTGGAAAAGATGATTCATTGAAATCGAAGTGTATTGCAGGCTCAACCGGATTTCCTCCACCTCCCTCTCCTTCCCCCCTTTCTGTTGATCTACAGGAGTAAGGTTGTGTACATTTGTCCCTCTCCAAACCCGCATTGGCAGAAGCCTCGTGCACTGGGATGCCCTTTATGTCTATATATAACATATAAGAATATAAAAATCAAAAGGAGGTTATAGTCTTCATATTTCCATATTAAGCAAGATCTTCATAGGGAAATTCCTAGATAAGTAATCTAACATATATAGATTAAAGGCCTTCTGATTCAGACAAGTGACAACCTATTTTCTCAATAAAGGGCTTCCAAAGAGTGGTCCCTTTCCTTAGACATGTGTCTATCCACTATCAGAAAAAGTGAGAGCGCTTCACTCCCCAGGAAAAAAAAGTGTTAACTTTAGACATTTGGCTACCTATTAAAAAAAGTATCCAATTCAAAAGATGTGGGACTCGTATTAATCTTTTCTTTAGTAATAGCAAAGAAAGGATTTAATAATTAACCAAACTAGAAACTTATACAATGAGTCTTCCCAAAGAGAGACGTGAGATACAGCCTCAGTTACAAATCGTATTACAATTGAGCCCAAAACAGGTTCACCCTATGCATCCCTTGCTTAGCTAAGTAATCAGCTATCCCATTGGCCGATCTCCTTTGCCAAAGAATCCTTACAGTCATATTAGTGGAAAAGCATTAAGTCTTCTCACCGCTTCCCTACAAGTCCAAATAATAGTGTCAAGATCCATTAAGGCAAACTACCATCTTGAAATCTCCCTCAATTATCAATTTGTCCACATTCAGCTCTCTAGCAAACTGTGCTCCCTGCAACACCACTTCAAAGCATGGAGCCATGGATAGAGTCCCACACTCCTACAGGGCCCGAGTATAAAGCAATTATATGTCCATCTGCATTCCTGAACACACCCCCTATCCCTGATTGCCCTGGATTTCCAAGGCTGCTTCCATCAAATTTTAGTTTTATTTCTTCAGAATGCAACCAAGAAGGAATAGGCCTAATCTTAATCTTAATCTTCAACAGTTCAACTTTTGGCTACATCTTCCCAATTCCACCAAATATCATCAAAGAAGAAATGTGAAAAAAAAATTCCAAGGTTTTTGCCCAATTTATAGCTCTACTTATGAAGCATTCCCAATTATCCTCCTCATTCCTTTTTTTTTATCATTAAAAAAAATTCTAGCATTTCTCTCTTCCCAAATAGTCCATACCAACGCAGCCCTGGCACATCTCCACAGGATTGACCATCTGAAGGTAGTTGGGTTAAAGAGGCTAGTTACCTGCAAAGGCAAAGACCACCTACACCCAAATAGTACAAAACAACCTTTCCCAAAGGCTAGCAACTACCACATAGGAGATGGGTTGTCAATTACAAATTAAACCAGATTTAATGTTTTAATTTACACAAGGAACTCAAATTAGATATACAGATAAATAGTGGATCTCAAACAAAATGATAATAATAGATGTAGTTGCCCCCTTCTTATTGCAAGGTACTCATTAACAAGCATACCATCAAAAGAAACAATGCATTGAATAAACCATATCCTCTTTCAATTCCTACCCCCCACCCACCCAAATTAAAAAAAAAAAGCCATGGAGATAGAAAGAAGGGAAATCTCTATGCTCTTATCTCCAATCAAGCCCCAGACCCTAAGAAAGGTAAGTTCGTCAATAAGGAAGAAATCATTGACTCCATATCTATCAAGGTCATAGTGTCATACACTGGCTGAAATCAATTGAGTTGTTCAATGACTACTCAGTTGAGGATATTTTCAGAGACTGGCTAATAATGGAGAGCTCATGAACCTCAAGGAATATGGTTTAGGATCATTGGATACCCCTTCAGCCCAGCAACAAGTGAAACTGAAGTTTGATGTTAAATTCTTTGGGTAATCCAGGGCCTTGTGGAGTGAGGGGGAATATTTAGAGATTGGGAGGGTAGACTGGTAGCATTGTATTCTGGACCTATAGGGGTGGGAGATTCACTAAGAGCTGAAATTATGGCCCTACTTCAAGGTTTGAGGCTGGCTAAGCAATGTGATTTTCACAATCTGGAGGTGGAAGGGAACTCAAAGCTGCTGTTAGGATGGTTGTAAGAAGAAAGTTTGGGGGCTTGGAGTTTTAGACAGCTAATGAGGGAAATTTTCAGCTATGTGAGGGAGGTTGGGGCTCTCTTCAAGTGGATCAGGAGATCAGCAAATGGTTTAGCTGATACATTGGCAAAGCAAGGAACTGCTAGGGAAAATCTGTTTTGGGCTGTACTTAATTGAATTATATTGTGGGGTCTATCAGCACTGCAGTAGTGAGTAGTTGACATTGTACTCTTATCATTTTCAGTAATGAAAGTTGCCATTTCCAATAAAAAAAGGGTATTAACAATTAACAACACAGAAAAAGAGCTGCCAACACAGAGTATTAATCTAACACAAAATATCTAAATGGAGATACAAGGTAAGCTTAGTATGCTCTGACCGGCATTCTCAAAGGTGATAAAACCAATTCCACGATGCCCCTTTGAGCTATGATCCTGTGAAATAAATAGGAAAAGTATGTGAAAATAGCAACATGTGTAATGGTGAAAACTATCACTACTCAAACCAACCACTATCAGAGAGCACAATACCCAATTAGCTGAAAATAAACATCATAGTGTATCAAGTAACCAATTTGCAACTTCATTGTTTTTAAACCATTTCATTAGATTTATTGTTCCTATACTACAGAAATAAGAAAATTATTGGCCACAGCTTTGAGAAAGGTTGGAAGACTTTTGAAAGGGAAATATTTGGCATTACTAGCAAAAGGATCACTTAACTAGCCTTTACTTTCTAATTTCCGAAAACCCCAAATTGACTAATATTTTTATCCCATCAAGTTTTTGAAACAACCAAATATATACAGTGCCAAGTCTGGAATAGAAAAAAAAAAAAAACATGAAATTTGATTTTGTAAGTACATAAAAAAAATAGTTGGTCACCATTTGAGATGAAAACCTCCCCACTTCCATACAATGTCATAACACATCTTTTTAGTAAATAAAATCCATTACAAAGAGAAAATGATAACAATTACCTAATGATAAGATGACACTCAAGGAAAAGATAACTCACTTCATCCACATCCCAAAACCGAATAAAAACACTCATTCATCTCCAAGCCATATCATCCCAATTGAAACACTAATACATCCATCACCTCTTCATTACAAGAATTTACTTAAGCCCCTTAAAAACCACTCTTCCATTTAAGTGAATATAGCCCAGTGCATGAGGCTCCCCCCAATGCAGGGTCTGGAGAGAGACAGATGTACGCAGCCTTACCCCTGCTGCGCATACAGAGAGGCTGTTTCCAAGATTTGAACCCTGGTCACCAAGGTCACAATGGAGCAACCCAACCAATGCACCAAGGTCCACCCTCATTTAAGTGAATACCAACCTCCCAACTTACCACACTCCAAAAAACACTTCCATATTTCCAAGTCCCATCCAAATCTAAACAAATCTATAAACTCCATAAAATACACAACAGATCCTCATTTTCATCTCCCAAAGCTGATATATTAATTGATTCAACTCTACATCATAATTGTCAAGGCGTCGCCTAGGCAACTAGGTGCCCTTGGCTGGGTGCCTCGCCCAAACGCCTTGACTTTTAGCAACTAGGCGCCCACCTAGGCGACAAAAATGACAAGGTGGGCGCCTTTTATAATATCATTTATATTGTTGTATCTTATTAATGTATGTGTTAATACATTTTAGAGTAAATTACAAAGACCCCCCTGTATCATGGGGTCTGTGGCAAAGACCCCCCCCCCCCGTACTTTGTTTTGCGACAAAGACCTCCCCTGTACTATGATCGTGAGACAAATACCCCCTTTCGTTAGTCTTCCGTCCAAAAAAGCCGTTACAATAGTTTTTAATCCTCATATTACCCTTATAATAATTAGAAGAGAAAAGCATTGTTCATCTTCCCCATACCGATATTTCATCAAACCAAAACGGATAAGAACGGAAGAACCAACTCTTCTCTTTTCACCAAAAGAAGAAGAAGAAAAAAAAAAGAATTCCTCCTTTGTCAGCATACTAATAAAAGGATTATAGTTCCTGATCTGGCTTTTCTAGAATGGGGAAGGAGAAGCTAATGGATCAGATATTACAACCGAAGCTCACATCGAAATCACTGGTTAAGCAAGCGAAGAAGTGTGAACAGGAAGAGAAATCAGAGAGGGCCAAAGTAAAGAAAGCGATTGAGAAGGGCAACATGGATGGTGCATGGATCTATGCTCAAAACGCAATCAGAAAGCACAATGAACAGCTCAACTATCTGCGCCTCACATCCTGCCTTGACGCAGTAGTAGCACGACTCGGGAGCCAGAGCAACCTGCAGACAGTTGGGAAGTAGATGAGCGGAATAGTGAAGTCACTTGACGGGGCGTTTTCTGTTGGGAACATGGAGAAGATATCTCAGACCATGGATCAATTCGAAAAGGGTTTTGTAAACATGGAGGTACACGCTAGTTTCATGGAGAAGTCAATGGCGGGCACCACAACTCTGTCTACTCCTGAAGAGGAGGTGGGGTCCTTGATGCAGCAAGTAGCTGATGATTACAGGTTGGAGGTATCTCTGAAACTCCCACAGGCCGGGAATAAAGCAGTTTTGCTGAAGGAGAAAGGAGTAGTTTCCGAGGAGAAGCTGAATAGGAGATTGGCAAACTTGAAAGCCAAAGGGTAATCTTTCTCTTTCTCTCTCATCAAATGATCAAATATGAGTATGACCATGTTTGATGAGTTGTTTCTAACTTTCTATGTTTGTTAGTATCTTTAGAATGGATTAGCAAATTAGCAATCAAAAATTCATTTTTATTAAGCAATTTTATTCTGTTAAAAAAACAAAAAAAAAGAAGCATTCAATGAAGATGGGGGCAAAATACAGGGCAACAGCATTGTTGGTTCTCTTCGCAATGGGTAAGATGCCCGACGAGCTTGTTTCAGTTGTTTGATTGCAGAGTCTCGCTCTTCTTCTCTCACTGTTGACTTACTTGCTTTACCTTTTTCTTCTTCTCTTTCGATACTTAGAATTTCTGTTAGGATTAGCTGTGGCTTTTGAAGAATCTCCGAAGCTCGGGACTATAATTGGTATCGATCTCGGGACGACTTATTCCTATGTTGGTGTCTACCGGAATGGACACGTTGAGATTATAGCAAACAATCAAGGGAATCGGATCACCCCCTCGTGGGTTGCATTTACAGACACCGAGCATCTCATTGGGGAGGCAGCCAAGAATCAAGCATCTCTCAATGCCGAATGGACCATCTTTGATGCTACGAGACTTATTGGGAGAAAGTAAGAAGAGAAGAAAGGGAAAACTAGGTTAAATAGGTTTTAAGAGAAAAGGGCAAAAAAAAAAGAAAATAGAAAAAGTTTAGTGAGGTATTTTGGTAATTTAATGCATTCCGTTATTTGACTTAACGGTCAAGGGGGATCTTTGTCTCACTGTCATAGTACAGGGGTTTCTTTGTCACAAAACAAAGTACAGGGGGGTCTTTGTCACAGACCCCATAGTACAAGGAGGTCTTTGTAATTTACCCTACATTTTAATATATGCTATATATATCAATTATACTTTGTTTTAATGTTTTACTATTGAAATTTAAAAGATCAAAGGCTTTTAATGTTTTACTAATAAAGTTATTTTTTCTATTCTCTCTCTCTAATTAAATAAAACAGAAACTCCATCCTTGTTTTTTTTTTCTATTTTACTTTCCATCTTGAATATTTATCATATAAAGTTGATAACCATCTTTAGCTGCTAATTAATATGAATTTTCTCTATTAAATACTTATTATAGTAGTATTATTTTTGAAAATAATGAAATTAATAATATGTAAAAAAATTTCTTTTAGATGCCACAATTTTAGAGGAAATTTAATGTTCTTAATAAAGAGAATTGCTATTTTTTCAATTAACATACATGCTGAATGGTATATAAAACTAGGAAACTAGCCAAAAGTCAGATTTTTATATTAGAAATTTTTTATCGCCTAGGCGACTAGGCGCCCCAGTGTCGCCCAAAATCGCCTAGACACCTTGAAAACTATGCTCTACATCTTCCTCTTTCTTCTAATTCAGGAGCATTTTTCTTGCAAATTCTTCTCCCATAGAAAAAGCAACCCTAACTCTTTACCAATTTACCAATAAAGAGAGAATTGTTTACACCAAACCAAGAAACTTCACATGGCAAATAAACCTTCTTCACATATTGTATAAAAATAATATGAATTTAAATAACCAAAAATTCTAAGAATAAATTCAGTTGCTTCTAGCGCTATAATAATAATTATATATAACAAAACATCAAGAAAAGAGCTCTGGTAACAATCAGACATAAAGAGTAGTTTCCCCAAATAGGTTTAAATAATTAATTTTCCAATAATGGATGAGAATAAAAGAAGAAATATCTCTGATATATCCATTACTCTCTCTTGTTATTAGCATTTATTGGAAAAACAAGAAAAAATTTCAGCTTTCATTATTAAGGCAAAATAACTACTTTTTAATATCTTGTTTGTTTGCTTTTCAAATATACTGCCACCAAATTCTAGTGCAATTCCTGCATGGCTGCTGCCTTTTTTTCAGTAAGATGAATATCTTTACCATTGGATGGAAAAGATGAATATCTTTACCATTGGATGGTACTTTTTTTATTGTTAACCATTGGAAAGAAGTTCATATTCAAATGGATACCAACAAGTTAAAAAACTCAGTTTCTTTAAAGCAAAAATAAAATAAAATAAAATAAAAACTCATGTACATGAATATAACCTGATGAAATGATTAAACAAGAAAGGCAATCTCGTGCAATGTATAAACAAGAAATGCCCATGTAGGGAATCATGGGCACTGTTTGTATAAACAGCATTTTACATAGTTTCATTCTTTTAATCTCAGTTAAATTGATTTCAACTACTATTCAACACAAAAAAAAAATAGATAAGACAGGCAAGCATATTCAAATGGCTACTAACAAAAATTAACAAGCTAATTTTCTTTTAAGCAAACAAAAAGCAGAGTTAATCACTCATGGTAGGGGAAATGATTAATTAAAGCAAAAGAAATTTAAATGTTCATTCCATGCAAACAACATCCTAGCATCTGTTTAGAAAATGAGAACACGTGCAAGCTCACCTTTGGCATGTAGAGGTCTGTTATTTCACCATAAGTCTCGAAATAACTGCAGAAAGTTTGCAGAAGAATCTATTGGTTCATAATTTATGATATCAATCTTCAAGGAGAACATTTTATCAAACTAAGCAAAGATTTCATAACTACATATACAACACTAATACCTCCGGAATGCTGCTTCTGTGACAGATTGGGGGATTCTAGCCACAAATATCCGGGTAATTTTCTTTGCAGGTGCTCTCATCTCTTCCTGTCAAATGACAAGGGCCTTCATGAATATGTGAAACGAGCAAACATTGTAAGTACTTTTCGAGTTTTTCCTCCCCATGCCATATGGTCTCATGAACCTGTTCTGTTTTCATTTTTTTTATTTATCCTGCTACAGTCAATTATGACAATTTCAATTTTATCCTTTGAGGGTGCTTTCATGTCTTCCGGTCAAATGATAAGGGCCTTCATGAAAATGTGGCACAAGCACCGTCATAAGGGTTTTTTTAAATTTTCTAATGCATTCTATATGGTTCAATAAATCTGTGTGCTTTCAATTTTTTATTTACCCTCCAATAATTGATTATCTGCACCTGTACAGCTAAGACCTAGAGACAAGCCTATTTTAATGAATAATGACTGTATGGTTGTAACTTGTAAATGACCAAAAGTGACTTTGACAGTGTCATCAAGATAACATCAAACCCACTCACTTAAGGGGGTTTCTGTCATTTGCAGTCTACAAGTAATCAGGTTAACTGGTTTTATTTATCAAGGGTACAGACACAATTTTTCATAGGATAGGGCAATGCATTGTACTTACAAGCATGGCCACATTTAAAAAAAAAAATGCGAACTTGTTCCATAATTAATAGAAACTTAAAAAATTTCAAACAGAAGCACAAAATATATCAAAACATACATGGCAGTGCTTTAAGTCAAGAAGGGATGATCTTACAGGGGTGATTAGAGTGGCTTATCTCTTTCTGGTTTGAGATTTTGTTATTTTGTTGTTGAGGATGTTTTGGTTGTGGACCGGGAGTTTTTTTGTGCAGGCATATTATTAGTTTTTAGCTGACTGTTTTCTCAACATTCTCTAGTATCTTGGTTGTCTTTTTAGTCTTTTAATAAATTTTCTTTTTCATTCAAAAATGATACAACATACTAAAACATAGGGGCAGAAGTGGAAAAATGCAGGAGCAGGAACAATCATAATAACAACAACAGCAGCAGCAGTAGTAGTAGCAGTAATGAAAAAAGTAATAATAATTATTGAAACAGTATAAATAACAATAGTGAGCCAATTTTTAAACAATAATAGTGGAATCATTTTATGCTAGCATGTGGATCTTAGCAACATGTTTAGCAGTCAACACAATCCCAAGCATGTTTATAAAAGAGGTTACAATGAAAAATTAGAGAAGCAGAAACGCAATACATGAACAAAAGTTAATATTTCACAACCTTTGGTGTGGCAACTTTTACTTCCAACATTCTGTTACCAAGAAAATGCTCACTTTTGAGTGCATTCTGTAAGAAAGAAAATCAAAAATATATATAAAATATACAATTCATAAGAAATTGCACCAAAAGCAATTGCATGTTAAATCTAACAGCAGGTTACAACAGATATGAATGTGAATATGAAAAACATGCCATCTGGGAATTCAAGTAATAAAATTAAAGAATAAAAAGAATATGACAACAAAAAAGAGAACAGGGATAACTAGAAGATAATAAGAAAAAAGGGGGCATAGCATCATTGCAGTTCAAATCAAGTATATCCTAAGTAAAAACACTAAACAATAGCACTTTACTTGTTTTACTTTTTTCAGACACAAGAATAATTTTCAGAAATAGATCAGCAACAAAATATTGTTATCAACCCCAATATATGAATGCATTTCAGGTGTCTAACATAAAATATTATTCTGTTCAAAAACATCCTAAATGAAGTTTGAAGTCAATACTAAAGAAGCTTTATGATAGCTAATGCCACTGAAACTTGACTTTAAGTGCCTACTTAACCGGTTAGTTATTTAGAAAAATTTAATCTCTACCTAAAAAATAAAAAATACAAAGCAGAAGGGAAAGGCAGGACATCCAAAAAAGTCAGCAGTTTGAAAATAAAATAAAGCTTAAGTTGGGTTAACAAACATTGGTTGAATGTTCAAAAAAAATCAGCAGTTTCAAAAGTTAAAGTTGAGTTGGGTTGATAGAAAAATTTTAAGGCTTGACAGAAACACCCAACCATTAACTTCCATATGCCTTGCTTTCTACAGTCCAGACATGCCTAGGCATGTTAGACACCATGACTTACAATAAAAGAACATTTATGTCAATTATTTTGATCAGATTTTTATCTCTCTTACATACTACTGCTATTCAAAGCTTAACCAAGTAAATTGGTCGATTCATAATAAAATCAAACCCCTGGACTCTGTCCAGACAAAAGAATATAAATCAAAAAGGGAAAAAAACTCTAATACATTATTAACCTGTGGAATAGAATACAAGTTAACCATCAAAGAACAGGATATTCTAAAATCTTTTGTTACCTTCGCATCCTCAACTGATGCAAATGTTACATAGCCAAAACCACGAGATCGACCAGTAGAGCGTTCCTAAAACACAAAAACAAAAAGAGAAGACAAGCAAAAGCTTTCAGCTAGGACATTTACAGGAAAATGTAAAAAGATCAGAATAACATGATACATGCTTGATTTTCAAGACATAAAGATGTGAAACCCTATGTATCAAAAGTAGTCAATTCAAGTCGTTGAGAAAAAATGAACTCAGCAATAGAAAAACTTGTTCCAAGACATTGACTCTATAGCAAATATGAAAACCAACTACTAGTCAGACAGCATATATGTGGCATCATTCAAGAATGGCAAATGAATGACTAAGAGCAAAACATTAATGTTGTATAAGATAAAACAGTTGATAATTGCAAATAATCTGAATGGAATTTGGGGAGCACCACATGCATTGGAATTTTCAGACAATAACAGTATTAGTTTGTGTGAGTTCATCTTGAAACATAACTGGCCAAAGTTGACCAATCATGAGTTTCTGCCAACGGAAAGAGATAAGACCATCCAGGAAAGAAAATTTGGCTCAAAACGAGTCCTATGAGGAAAAAGGTGAAACGAGTCCTACGAAGAAAAGCAAACCCAAGGGTGCAGTAGTATTTACAACTCAATGACCGTCGGAATTGAATTGGAAAAGGACACCTTCCCGTTTAATTAAGACGTGTGGATAGAAAAAATAAAATGCACAGCTCTTCTGCAGAAAAATACGTTGTCCAACTTTTAATTCAGGAAAAAAATAGTCGACATGGTAAATGTGATTGTGTACAAGATAATCCTGCTAGTCAATGTATAGACATAAACAATTGTTGATTTTGGAACAGTGGATAATTAAGGACGATAACCTTCATCACGATACAATCTTCCAATTCCCCAAATTTGCTCATGTACTCCCTCAGCCCTTCCGTGTTAACATCCCATGGGATGCCAAGAACCTGTGAAGTACAACAAAAATAACCCAAATGAAACGAATTGGGTGAAACAAAAGAAACGCCTGTTCCAGGGAAAATAAATAATAGAATGAGAAATCGAGTTAGAGAGACTGACCACAAGCTTGTTCTCCATGTGATTCGAGAAGGCGATACGAGAGAAGAAGAAATCGAGTTACAGAGTGGAATCGCGACTTTCTCTAAAGAAAGACCAGCAGACTGGTAGACACCCTCAATCTCTCTCTCCTCTCTCTCTCTCACCTCTGGCACTCCCTCTCCCACTCGCGCTCTAACTCCTTGCTCTCTATCTCTCTCACACTCGCCCCCTGCAAATAAGCAGATCTTTTTCTCACACACACAACAAAAACCGAACATACTAACCATCATTTTCCTTTTTTTTTGTGTTCACCTGCGTCGGAGATTTAGCCTACAGTGCAATCTCTGTCTGTCTTCGATCCAATAGCAAATTCGAAGGGAATAATGAAGAAAAGAAAAAAAGGAAGAACAAAAAGAGTGGTGACTTTGCTCTCACTGACCTTTCGACTTCTCAAAATTTCTCTGTTTCTTTCGACTTTCTCAAAATTTCTCTCTAATCTCATAGATCGCTCCCTCGAACCCTCAAACCCTTTTTCTCCCTCGCTTGCTCCCGCCGCTCAGCACCTCCTGCACTTCCTCATCCGCTCGGGCCCGGCCCTCGACGCTTTAAAAAGATCCCATGTGTTTGTTTGTCCGGATTATCTGATGCCATTTCTACCCTTCTAAAATCCAACGGTCTTTAGTAAGCTAATTCTTAGGTGGGTCCCCCCTGAAACAATGGATCTTCCCCAAGTAAATATCATAGCGCATAGAATATCTCCATAATAGATTCACTGAAATCTGGTCGGATTCCCATCAGATTACTATGTCTTTTTTTTTTGAAATTGCCCAAAACAACAAATCACCCTTCAATGACAATTTAGAGGAAAAGGATATTTTTCATTTTTCAATTATCTTTTTTTTTGCATTTTTATTGTTTTGTTATAATTTTTATTATTTTTTTAATTTCTGTTTTTTACATTTTTCTATTTTCTACCATCTATAAAATTTCCTGTACTTTTTGTTATTTGTTTGCAATTTTTGTATTTTTTTCTATAATTTTTGGTGTTTTTTCTACAATTTTTATTGTTTTATTTGTTTTTCAATTTCTATAGTTTCTATATTTAAAAATATTTTTTTATTTTGTGTGCAATTTCTATAATTTTTTCTACTTTTTGTAATTTCTGTGTTTTTATATTTGAAAAATATTTTTTGAACTTTTTTCCTTTTTTTCATGTCAAAATAAATGGTAATATATTAATAGCCGTTAGTCTCTTTAACGTCAAGTTAGTGACATTGTGAGTTTTAGATGTTTTGAAAAGTTGTGGTGAGTTTAAGAGAAATGCTGAAAACTCATGGTGAGTTTTTGACAATTTCCCTTTTTTTTATGGAAAAAATGTGATCTACACAAGCTAGGGGGTAGTTCTTCCCCTTACATCTGCTTCACAAATAAAATTAAAATCATAAGACCTAAACTCATTACTACCCTCTCGATTATTAAAAGCTTTACCAGCTAACCAATCAGCCAACTAATTCGCTTCTCGATACATATGCTTGAATTTGATATTAAGGTTAAAAAACTCAACAAGGTTTCGACATTCCCTAATGATAATAGCTAATCTCCACGGGGGTGAAACACGACCATTGAGACAATCTATAACCAATTTAGAGTCTCCTTCGGTGGTGACTTGATGGTCCCTGAAGTTAATTGCGATGTTGATAGCCTCCCATGCAGCCCACGCTTCCGCAAGGTTGATCGTCATGATACAAATTCCAATCGCTTTGGTCTCGAGTACATAACCATGATGATTCCTAGCAACACACCTAATGGCATAGTTGCCATTAATCGAACATGAAGCATCAAAGTTGATTTTGATGCAATCAAATTTGGGCTTATACCACATAACAATTTTACTGTTAGTATTAGCCATGCAAGAAGAAACATCTCTAATTTCATTCCAGTAAGCAAAAGCCTTGCCAATGATAATCTCTGCATTACTGAAACCTCCATTAAAACATTTATTATTTATATTATTCCAAATGAACCAAGAAACACAAGCAAATTTTTCTCTTAGGAACTTATCCTTGTAATACCCATTTGACTTGTTAAGTAAAGACCACCACTATCTGACCAACGAGAAAGGGTTATTGGGAATTGAAAATTCCTCATATAGACTGCTACAGTTTTGTTTAGAGTTTTCACATATAATAAATAGGTGGTCACAATCCTCTACCTCCCCACAAAAGACGCAAGCTGGATCAATCCCAATACCCCTGGCTATAAGATTATTTTTTGTGAGAAGTCCATTATTTAATAAGAGATAGAGAAAAAATTTAATTTTTGGGGGGAGCATGAGCTTCCAAAAATTAATTTGATAGTTGGCAATATTACACTCACTACCATTAAACCGGCACTCCTCTTCACAAGCTGTTTTTACCGAGAAGTTACCATCTGGGGTGAATTTGCAAACTCTTTCATCTTCATAGTCCTCATGGGGAATTAATATAGGTTGGATACACTGCCAAGCTCGGTAAGTGGTAATAGACTTAATAAAATCCTCTTTCCATACTCTCCTTTCAAGGTCCATTACCCCACTAACCATCAAATCCATGTCAATCAAATATCTCCTATTATTAAATTCAATCAGAGGATCATTACCAGCCCATGAATCCATCCAGAAATTTACATTCTTTCCATTGTCGATTCTCCACATAAAACCCCTTTTAATAAGCTATCTTGAAGTCAAAATACCTCTTGAAGCCCAAGAAGAGCTATTCTTTTTTTTTTTTTGCATCCCATAAATTGTTGTTATTAAGGTATTTAGTAGTCACAACCTTGACCCAAAGATTGTCATGGCAAGTTAAATTTTTCCACCCCAATTTAGCAATAAGGGCCTTATTCATCCATTTGAGATTCCTCACACCTAATCCACCCCATTTTTGGGGTGAGCAAACCTTGCTCCACCTAACAAGATGAATGGGGTTTTGGCTCCTTGCATTCGACCAAATAAAGTCCCTTTGGTCTTTTTCTAATTCAGCAATCACACTACTTGGAATTCTAAAAGCTTGCATAACAAATTGATAAACCATTGAGGCAGAATAATTAGTTCAAGTTAATCTCCTAGCTAGAGAGAGGGATTTTTTTTCCAACCTGCTAGTTTGTTATTCATTTTTTTTCTTCCAAGAGTTTGAAAGTATCTTTTGTCACTCTACCCTCAATAATGGAAGCACCAAGATAGGTTGTATTCCTATTTCCATTTGGGATTTTAAGAATTCCAGCCATAATTTTCTGATGCCTATTGGGGATGTTTTTGGAAAAGGAAATGGTTGATTTAAAATAATTGGGCAATTGACCAGATGCTTTTGCAAATCTGTCCAATATCTCCCTGATTTTAATGCAAGCATTAATAGAGGCTTTAGCAAAAATGATTAAGTCATCTGCAAACTGAAGAATTGGAATTTTCAGACCTTCCTTAGAGGCTTTACAACCAATATCATTCTTGCCACCCAAAGCCTCATTGTGAAATTTACTTGCAAGGGCTTCAGCACAAAGGACAAAAATATACGGGGAGAGGGGATCACCCTGCCGAATACCCCTACTGGCCCTAAAGGAACGAGTAGGAGATCCATTTAAGAGAATCTGAAAAAGAAACTAAAGTGATGCACTCCATTACCCAATTAATCCAATTGATATGGAATCCAAATTTAACAAGCACTCTCCTAATAAAGTCCCATTCCAACCTATCATATGCCTTTTCCCTATCAACCTTGCATGCAAGCATCCCTTGCTTGCCTCTCTTTTTTCTCACAGTATGCATCATTTCATGAGCAGTGAGAACATGATCAACAATTTGTCTATTTGGAATGAAAGCATTCTGGAACGGGGAGATAATGTCATCCAAGAACGACTTAATTTTGTTAATAATGACTTTGGAAATGATCTTGTAAATAACATTACATAGGCTAATGGGCCCAAAATCATTAATCCTCTTTGGGTTATCACACTTAGGGATAAGAGTGATAAACGTTCTATTTAACTCAAAATTCATTTTTCCATAATGGAAAAATGATTTAACTGTCTTACAGACAGAATCCCCAACAATATTCCATAACTTTTTGAAAAAATAAACAATAAGTCCATTAAGACCAGGGGCCTTCATATCCTTCATTGATAGAAGGGTATTATGGATTTCTTCATTTATAACTTCTTTACATAGGGTAGTATTCATAGATTCTGTTGCACAACACCTTATATTTGAAATGAAATTATCAACATCTGTAGTACCCTCAGATTGGAATCTTTTCTCATAACCACTGCAAAACACCTCTTTGACATTTTCAATGTCATCCACCCAAAAACCATTGTCGTTTCTAATTTTCCTAATTTTGTTTTTCTTCTTCGAATAGTTGTAGTGGTGTGGAAAATTTTATTATTTTTATCTCAAAGTTTAATCCATTCAACTCTAGAATTTTGAGCCCAATAAACTTCCTCTATAGCAAGAGTGTTGTTAAGAAGCTTTTGAAGGGCAATCTCATGATTAATGAGGGTTCTGTTATTTGGGTCATCCTCTAATTGCTCTTGGATCACCTGGAGTTTTGAAAGAATTTCTTCATTCCTCCTTATGATATTCCCAAAATGATGTTTATTCCAGAATTTGAGTTCTTTGACAAGATTATTTTTTTTCTTGCAAAATTGATAGGCCTTGGAGCCAACAATGTTAATATCCCACGCCCTCTTTATAACCTCTTCAACACTATTATCAAGGCACCACATGGCTTCAAATTTGAACGGTCTAGGACCATACAAAATTTGAGTATTAGTATCAAGAATCATAGTTAGATTCCATAAAAGGGAGATTAATGAGCCTATAATTATTAAACTCACATCTCCAATTAGCATTCGACTGGACCTAGCCAATTCTTTCTTTGGTATTATTGTTTTTCTAAGTGAATTGGCCTCCTTCCATCTCTACTTTAATAGATTACAGTAATCTATTAATTGATTATAATTTCTAGTTTGGTAAGACCTAACTACCGAACCTCCTTTTTATTATCACTTATTTTCTTGGCATAGAAATCTCCCATAATGCACCACACCCCATGAGTACAATCAGAAATGTTTCTAATCCAGTCCCAAACTTTAATTTGATTAGTCTTATAGGGAGGAGCATAAACTAAAGTATTCAACCAACTTTTATTAGAGTTAAGATTAGTAATACATGCATGGATAATCCTATCATTTAAAAGAATAATATCAATAGTGCAAGCAGATGAATCCCATAACAACCACAAACCACATGAAAAACCAATTGGGTCAACTAAATGGAATTTATCAAATTTTAAAATTGACAATATATTTTTTTCTCTAGTTGGATTAACCCTTGTTTCCATAAAGCAATAAATACTTGGCTATACAATCTACATAATTCAGCAACTTGTCTTCTCAGCTAGATCCTTCCAGCCCCTCTAACATTCCATATAAGAATCTTTATTTGGTTACATTTGCTTCATTAGGACCTTGCTTGTCCATGTTCAAAAGTTTTCAGAGCTCTCATCAACGCTACCAGCATTTCTTGGTTCCAAATTATATTGGTCAATCCAAGACTGGT